AGCTGACCTCCTGGTAATGTTTGCAATGGTAGCAGAGGCTGCCTAGTTAGGCTAGCCTGGTTAACCTGCCCCTGAAGGTCTTGCGGGGTCTAACTGTGCCTCACTCACACACTCACACACACACACACACACACACACACACACACACACACCACATGCAACCACACACTCCTCTTTTGCTCCCTCACTGCCTCCTTCTTCCTGCCTATGTAGCTGGGTCTGGGGTGTAATTGACCCGTTCATGGATGGAGTTTTCTCTCCAGGTGTCTGGTTATGTGGCTTGCTCTCTAGCATATTAGCCAGACAGGATAAAATTCACCTTAACAAGGCATGACACAAAGGGAACAAAGCATGAATGTACTCACAACACCAATAACCCCACTATAAGTGACCACCTTTGAAAAGAGAACTAGGGGAGAGAAAAGAGAACACAAATGTTATCTAAGAGAGAAAAAAAAGATAAGAGAGAAAAGAAAAAGGAGAGAGAGAGAGAGAGAGAGAGAGAACACCACAGAACCAATAGATAAACCAAACGATACAAACACCAAACACCCAACAAAGAGGCTAGGGGCAGAATTTGTAGAGGCTAAGCTGTTATTCAGAAAATAAGGTTAAGAATTGGATAAATCTAAGACCCCCCCTAATTTTTATGGTTGAACCAAAAGGTACACTTTCACCATGTTAGATAGAAATACAATTTAAAGGGTGTGCTAGTAACCTCAAAGAGGTTGGAGGTGGTTCTGTTGTTCAGAAATTCCTATCTAATAAAAAGATAATATGCAAATTGACCCTCACTCCAACACACAAGATGGCCGCCCCCATGTGGACACACAATGGCTGCCACAAGATGGCCGACAGGGAAGGGCAGTTGTGGACGATCAGGCCAGTAGGGGAGGGCAGTGGGGGGGACCAGACCTGCAGGGGAAGGTAGTTGGGGGGGACAGGACCTGCAGGGGAGGGCAGTTGGGGGGGACCAGGCCTGCAGGTGAGGGCAGTTTGGGGTGACCAGGCCTGAAAGTGAGGGCAGTTGGGGGTGACCAGACCAACAGGGAAGGGCACTTGGGGGACCAGGCCTGCACGGAAGGGCAGTTGAGGGTAACTAGGCCTGCAGGGGATGGCAGTTAGGGGTGACTGGGCCAGCAGAGGGGGCAGTTAGGGCAATCAGGCCAGCAGGGGAGCAGTTAGGCATCTATCAGGCTGGCAGGGGAGTGGTTAGGATGTGATCAGGGTGCAGGCATGTGAGCGGTTGGGAGCCAGCAGTCCTGGATTGTGAGAGGGATATCCGTCTGCCTGTTTAGGCCCAATCCCACTGGGGACATCCCTTGAGGGGTCCCAGATTGGAGAAGGTACAGGCTGGGCTGAGGGACACACACTCCTATACACAAATGTAGTGCACCAGGCCTCTAGTATAATTATAATGATAAAGATCCAAGATTGCTGCAGAGTAGGTAGATGTTACACTTACCTCCTCCCAGGATCAAACGGGAATTATAACTAAAATATAGAACAATTAACCTGAATAACCAACTGAAAACTAGCTGAACAATCTACACTAATAAAAGAGAAACATGGTAATTGGTGTACGACCGCTACCCTTTTCATTGGCTAATCAGTGAGTATATGCAAATTAACTGTCAGCCAAGATGGCGGCCGGCAGCCAGGCACTGAAGCAAGCA